GGGGAGGACGAGGAGGATGGGGGAGCGGGGAGCGAGGAGCGAGGAACGAGGTGCGATGAGAGAGGTGCGATGAGCGGGAAGAGAGGAGTGTAGGAGCGACGAGCGCGAGGGATGAGGGGGATCACTCGGACCATGAATACGGAGGAGGAGGAAGAGGAGGCTGAGCGAGGAAGATCAGCAGGAGGAGGAAGAATGGGAGAAGGAGGAGCGATGAGGAGGACGATGCGACAGAAGATGATGAGGATGATTATGCTGATGATGATGAGTTATGCTGATGATGATGATGATGATGATGACGATGATGATGATGATAATGATGATGATGATGATGATGATGATGCTGATGCTGATGCTGATGCTGATGCTGATGATGATGATGATGATGAGGAGGAGGAGGATGACTATGATAATGATGCTGCTGCTGCTGATTATGAGGATGACGATGATGATGATGATGATGATGATGATGATGCTCATGCTGCTGATGATGATGATGATGAGGATGATGATGATGGTGATGATGATGATGCTGATGCTGATGCTGATGCTGATGATGATGATGATGTTGATGATGATGATGATGATGATGATGATGATGATGATGATGATGATGATGATGATGATGATGGATGATGATGATGATGACGATGAGGATGAGGAGGAGGAGGAGAGGAGGAGGAGGAGGGACGAGGAGGACGAGGAGGAGGAGGAGGAGGAGGGGGAGGATGAGGAGGAGGAGGAGGAGGAGGAGGAGGAGGAGGAGGAGGGAGGAGGAGGAGGAGGATGAGGAGGTGGAGGAGGAAGAGGCGGAGGAGGAGGAGGAGGAGGAGGAGGAGGAGGAGGAGGAGGAGGAGGAGGAGGAGGAGGAGGAGGAGGAGGAGGAGGAGGAGGAGGAGGAGGGAGCGCGGAGCAGCAGCAGGGGGAGGAGGAGGAGGAGGAGGAGGAGGAGGAAGAAGAGGAGGTAGAATGAGGAGCGAGTTGCGAGGAGCGGGAGGCGGAGGGGGAAGAGGATTACGAGGAAGCGGTGACGGAGGAGTGGTGGGCGAGCAGCGATGGACAAGGACGCGGAGGAGGCGGTCGATCCTAAGGATCACGAGGCCACGTGGCCTCAAAAAGGCCGCCCTAGGGGCAACAGTCTCCCCATTCCGCTGGGAAGCGTGCACGATTAGCATATTTGATGATGTGGCCTTCACGGCGTCCACGACAGCACACGGCCCCCCCGGGACGGCCCCAAGACGGCCCGCAAGGGCTCCAGGGCGGCCCAAGAGGGCCCCAGGGCGACCTAAGAGAGGCCCCTGGGGGCCTCAAGAGGGCCACAGACGGTCCCCAAGAGGGCCCCAGAGGGCACTGAGAGGGCCCCAAGTTGGCCCGATCCCCCCAAGACGGTCCAAGAGGGCACCAGGACGACCCAAGAAAACCCCGAGGCGGCCCAAAGGCTCTTGAGGATCTCTGGGGCCGTCTTGGGGCGGTCTTGGGGGCCTCTTGGGACTTTGTGACGTGTCGGAAGCTCGAAACGTGGGACACCCATGCACAACCAATGATGTTGGCCTCTCTGGGCCCTCTTGGGAAGGCTCTTGGGGCTTTCTTGGGGTGTCGCGAAGGCTTCTTAGGCCGGCTTGGTGCCATCTTGGGCGTATTGGACCGATTGTGCGGAGATTCGGGGCCCTCTTGAGCCATCTTGGTGGCATCTTTGGGCCTTCTTGGCCCGTCTTGGGGCTCTCTTGGCTCTGCATAAAGTGACGCGACAGGACGCGGAAAGCACCAGATTATGTGATATTTTGGTGTCCCTGCCATTTAGCGATCCTCCGGATGAGGACTGTGGCTTCAGCGAATCGAACACTGAATTTAAGGACACCCCAACTCGTGCCTCAAGGGCATGGTGGCAGAATATTACCTTTCCTTGTCATCCCTCGTCTCTCCCTCACGTACCTCGCCTCCTCCTCCCCCTCGCTGACCCAGGATGCCCCGCCCAGCCATGCACGGGAGGGCGTGTGCTCAAGAAGCGTCCGACCTGATCGAAGGAGGGGGGACCAGTGGGAGGAGGAGGAGCTGGAGGAGGAGGAGGAGGAGGAGGAAGAGGAGGAGGATCGAAGGAACGTCACCCTCCGCTCTGCCCTCTTGACCCGCGCCCGCTTCTCCCTTCTGCATGGTTCTTCCGTCAGGCTCCCCACGCCGTTCCCGATTACTGCTCCAATTGAGCCCCGATCCAGCGTTTCTGTTCTTGGCTTCGAGCGCAGGGCGTGAACCTGCCACCCGCATGGCCACGTGAGAGTCCCTTCGCGTGGCCATCCGACAACGGAAGATTGAAAGTGTTGAGGCACCCCATCCGCTTCTGCGTCCTTGCTCCTTCTGCATCGGTTCAAGAGCAGGGCACGAGCGCACACCAAAAGGGAAGGATACTTGAGACCACCGCCTCCCAATTCATACGATCGCCTTCCAAGTTCAGGGTGCAACTCCCGGGAGGTTTAATTCATAATCGGCGCTCGTTGGGCGAAAACTGGCCTACTCCGGCATACATAATCCCGCGCGATTCCGCTGAAGACCGTTTAACCCGGTTGAGTCCCGGGCTCCATCTGGCTAAATCCATCGTGCTTGCCCATTAAGCGGGCCTCATAACCTTAATCGTTACTACGGAGATTTCTCAGGAGTCGTTTCCGAATTAAGTGCGAGCGCACTCACCTGAGGCGAAGCGTCAAATCAGAACTAAGCTGCGGCTGCAAAGACGCACGGCTGTTGTTGTTCAGTGCACGAGAGGATCTTGGATGCCTCGCGCGCGCGCGCAATAGCTTCCTGATCGAATCCACATGTCCGCCCGGCGCGGCGATGTTCCGACGCGGGTCCGACGTGAAGCCGACGTAAATTTGGCGTGAGTCCAATGCAAATCGGGTCTCGCGTTGCCGCGCGAGACCTCAACTGGATGTTTCTCGGGGGGCCAGCGGTGTGTTGCAGCCGGGCGCGGCCGCCGCCGAGGAGTCCCGCGGTGCCGAGGTCGAGGCGCTGCAGCAGGCTAAGCAGATCCTCAACGGTGCCCAGCTGAGCGGGCTCTAGGACTCCGCTTCTCTTCCGCGCCTCTCGCGTGCTCTAGTATTAAGTCGGGCATGCCCCTCTACAGGAGGAATATTCAATAATAGTCTAAAAATAGCATGGCGACAATTGTTCGACTATGTTTGGACTATCTTTTAGTTTTTGTTGATTGTGATTTGTCTTCTGAAGCCCGCCTGTAGGAGGAAAGGCCCGACCTAGCTCTATGATGTTCTCTTGTTGAACGACTTGTAATGACCGTAGGAGGCACATCTCAGATAAGATATCCGCTTGCCAGGAGGTGCCCCACAGAAGCTCTTGCCCCCCCGATGGCCCCAGGGACCCGCAGAAGTTGAGGGGCACACCAGGGTCCTCAAATATGGATTTCTTCTAGCGAGATGCAAGAGGCCTACGCCGCCTCCACTGGCCGCATGGCATTTCCCAGTAGAGCGCTTCTGGCGCCCCAGGGCACTGCTGGCAGGGAGCAGCGCTCACAAGGAACGCGTGACCCGAATGGGGGGAGGGGGGGAGGTAGAAAACTACAGAGTGGCGGCCCCAACGGCCGGCGTACTTCCGCGCGGTGTGGGCGGCCGCCAACAAGGAAGAGGAGGAAAGGCAGGAGGAGAAGGATGAGGAGGATGAGGAGGAGGAGGAGGAGGAGGAGGAGGAGGAGGAGGAAGAGGGCAGGAGGAGGAAGAGGAGGGCGATGACGAGGACGAGGAGGAGGCAAAGGAGGGGGTGGAGAGGACGGACCAGCCAGTTGGCAAGCGTAGGGGTGCTTCGGCAGCTGCAACAAAGAGCTCCCGAGATCCTTTCGCCGTTGGACCGCATGTCGCGCGTGTCCACCGGAAGGGGCACCCTGAAGTGCAAGTCGTGCGCGTCAGGCCTGCCGAAGCGCTTGTGGCAGCGCGCGAATGCTCGGGGCCGGGGGGGGGGGACAGGAGGAGGAGGAGGACGAGGATGTAAAGGTTGATGGGGGGGAGGAGGAGGAGGAGGAGGAGGAGGAGGAGGAGCAGGAGCAGGAGCAGGAGCAGGAGCAGGAGCAGGAGCAGGAGCAGGAGCAGGAGCAGGAGCAGGAGGAGGACGATGAGGAGGAGGAGGGAGAGAAGGACTCGGGGAGGAACAGTGTCAGAGCTCTGAGGGATGCTTCTTAGGTTCATTGTCTTTCCTGGCTGACATGTCCGGTGTTCGCCGTGCGCGGACGGGGGAGAGGGGGAACCCACGTTCACAGACGGCGGGCATTTGTCAAAACATCAGAGGAATGATTATCGAATGCCCCTCGACCCATCCAGCCACCGTGCCTGGATTGTGGAATTGAGGCCATCTAAGGCCACTCGGATGGCTGATGGGGTCTCGTATGAAGCCTCTCGGGTGCGTCTTGGACGCAGGTTTTGGGCCTCTCGGGGCCCTCCTGGGGGGCTCTTGGAGATTTTTGGGGGCCCACTTTGGGCTCCCAGGGCCTCTTGGGGGCTTCTTGGGGCAACCTGGGAGCGTCTTGAGGACGAAGGCTCGAAATTTCAACCCGGGTTCCCCCTCAGGGCCCCCTCCTGGGGCCGCATTGGGGTCTTATTGGGTTGTCTTGCGGGTTTCTTTGGCCGTCTTGGGGCCCTCTTTGGCCGTCTTGGATCCCTCTTGGGGTCTCTTGGGCCGTCGTGGACGTAGTGAAAACCCAAGAGGCGAATCTGCTAAACATATACGCTGTCCTAAGGGAGTGGCACGAATGTTGCTCCTTGGGGCCCTCTTGGGTGGGCTATTGGAGGCCTTTTTGAGTTCTCTTGAGGCATCTTGGGCCGTCTGAAGGTTATCTTCTGCGTTTTAGAGAGCGATCTTTCGGCGATTCGGGGCCCTCTTGGACCGTCGTGGGGGCCTCTTGGGAGGCCTCAAGGGCTGTTCTGGAGCTCCACGCGGCGCCCGGGGAGGCCCGGACCCCCAATGATATGATCGGCGGGGGGTCGGGGGAGGCCGGAGCGATGGGGTCAAATTCCAGGTTTGGAGTCCCGGGAGGGGGATCAGGGGGGGCGGAGGAGTCTCACACGCCTGGGGACCCCAACGGGTCGGCGAAGTTCTTATCGTGTGCGTCTGTTGTGCAGTCACACGCTTGCTTGTGGCATGCAGGGTATGTCGGGTGCAGGAGGAGAGCTCTGCCCCGAGCTCTTCACACCGGCACGTGCCTCCTCGTGGCGGGCGTGCCATGTCGTACGTCATGCATGTCTGGCGGTGTTGGGGGCATGGTGTGTATGTAAAACAGGGCTAGGATCGGGATAAATCGCTCCAGAGCGTTCCGGAGCGCTCTCAGAGCGTTCCGGAACGCTCTGGAGCGGCCGCGGCGTCCAATACATCCTCCGAACCCGCCGATTCTCCGAGATTTCGAGTTATCCCGATCCGATTTTGTCCCGATCTTCGCGTCGTTTTAGTATGCTTGGCTCCACCCCCCGTTTCGCCCCGATCCCACACGCCCCAGTCTCGTCAGTCGTCCTGCCCAGCAGGGCGCACACCTCGCAGCGGCACAGGTCCAGCTGGAGCCGCAGAGGGTCCGCAGCGTGCGCTGTGTGCCAGCATTAAGTCGGGCCTGTCCCTCTCAGGAGGAAAAGAAACACACAGACACAATTAATCCTCGATTTCCCAGAAAATATGGGCAAATATGGGAAGTGGGGGGGAAGGCAGAAACCCAGAAAATATGGGAAAATATGGGGGATCTTTTGATTTGTGTGTATTTATGTGTGTGTGTGTCCCGGGGCCCCTTCACCCTCTACAGGGGGGAGATTCCGAAACACTCCAGAAATAATCCGGGGACGATGTTTCGACGATTTTTGGGGCATCTGGGGGGTATTGGTTGACCACTGTTGTTGATTCATCTCCAGAATCCCCCTGTAGGGGTACAGTCGGGGCGCTGAGGAAGGAACCCTTTTCGTTGGGGAGGGGCTCCGTGTTCCTGAATTGTTTCGCAGCTTGCCCTGGATTTCCTTTCGGTTTTCGCTACGAAATCGAAGTTCAACTTATGGAAGTTAGGGGCCTCGTTCCTAATTTATAAGTTCCTTAGGTCAACTCCTCGACTGTAGGGGTACATGCCCGATGTAATGCCAGCCGCGTGCAGCGGCGGGCGCGGAGCCCCGGGAGCCCGAGCGCGGCGCACCCTCGTCGGGCGCCATAGGGGAGCTGCGCGGTGCAGCGAGCTGCAGGCGAAGGTCCCAGGCCCCCCCGCTGGTTCGATGCTCGTTTTGGGGGCCTTCCTGGGGCCCACCTAATGGAACTGTTCGACTCAGGTTCGACTCAAGTTCGACTCAGGTTCGACTCAGGTTCGACTCAGATTCGACTCAGGCTCGACTCATATTCGACTCAGGTTCGACGCAGCTTCGACGCACGAGCGGAGCGAGTGGCTCCAGGAAGGTCCCCAGAATGAGCATCTAAAGCTGGTGTCCGAGAGCGGCAGGTCTCGCAGGCCTAGAGCTTGACACCAGCACCAATTTCGGCGGTGTGCCTCCACCGAGGGAAGAAGATCCCGATCTCGGTGATGGTGGTAATAGTTTGGCTTCCAGGGCGGCCGAAAGATTACCACCAGCACCGAAATCGAGGATCACCTTCCCCCTGGGAAGGCAAACCCCTGTGTTGGTGTTGGTGCCCATTTCCAGGCCTCCAAAGGTCCGCGTCGTGTCGACCAGGCGGCGGCCCCGCCGCCGGCGTTCAAGGGTGCGCGCTGCCGCCGGCCCAGAATACAGCCGGGGCCCTGAAGAAGGAACCCTTTTCGTTGGGGAGGGGCTCGGTGTTCCTTGATTGTTCGACAGTTTGCCTTCTGTTTCCCTGAGGTTTTCCATGGGAAATCGAAGTTCAACTTATGGGAGAAAGGGGCCCCGTTCCTTATTTAGGGTTCCTTAGGTCAACGCCTCGACTGTATGTCGATGTTGGACGATCTGACGTTCCAGAAACGGCCGATCCTTCAAGGTGGAACGATCCCCGCGGTGTCAGGAGCCGGCGGCGAAGACGGCATGGCACGACCGTGCTGTGGATGTGTTAGCTGTCTATGGGCGCAACTGAACCATAGGATATGATATGATAGGACCAGTGGCGGAGCGAGATCGCATCACCCGACCACTGGACATCACACATGTACATGGTTAGGGTAGACACTCACAAGAGCAATTGTGCAGGATCATTTTCATGAAATCAAGTCGCACACCAAGAACACATGCGGGTGCTCGCTGCTGCTGGCACTCCCCTTTGCTGCCACTTGTGACTATGGCGGCTGGGATGGGACGTTGATCGGAGTGCTCGAGGATGATCTTCCAGGAGACCACGGCATACAGGACATCCCGCACACAGCAGTCATTTGACAGGGGAGTGCCTGAACTTCTGATCGGTTCGGCCTCAAATGCAGGTGCGCGTTTGCCACAATTGGCGGGAGTGCGACAAGGGGAAGTGCAAGTCGTGCAGACGAACGGAGAGAGATAGAGAGAGAGAGAGATGGAGAGAGAGAGAGAGAGAGATGGACAGAGAGAGAGAGAGAGACAACAAAAAAACGTATCCTGGCGAAGGACCCAACCATCTGCACTTGTGAGTTCCTCTCTATGGGGCCACGACACCCTCGTGAGGGGTGTGCCGAAATGGGCGGAGGGACGCATGCGGACCCTGCCGCGGGGGCCTTCGGTGGAGCTCCCTATGGGGACACGATCCTCGTGAGGGGCGTGCCGAAATGGGCGGAGCGACGCATGCGGACCCTGCCGCTGGGGCCTTCGGTGGAGCTCTCTATGGGGCCACGATCCTCGTGAGGGGGGTGCCGAATTGGGCGGGGGGACGCCTCCGGACCCGAGAGAAGGTGTTACTGTGGCCCGTTGGTTGTTAGTGCGGCCCGGTGGGTGTTAGTATGGCCAGGGTTCCTCTGGAGTTTATGCATCAACGAGTACGGTGAAAGGGGGGGGGAGTCTCCAAAGAGCTTCCCCCCCCCCTTCACCGAAGAGCCTCTCGGAAGAGCCTCTGGGGACCGCCGAAGAGCCTCTTGGAGCCGCCGACGAGCCTCTTGGGCTCTCCGAAGA